GAACGTCTGACGGATGCCGTGCTCCGCACAGAAGGCTGCCAAGAGGTCTGAGGAGAACTCACCACCTCTGTCAGAGTGCAGACGCAGGATGGGCCCCACACGTCCAGGTGGAGAGTCTGCAGGGGAGCCTCTGTGGGAGGGAACGAGGAGGAGTGAGGAGCGGCGCGCTGCCGCCCCTCGACGCAAGGAATGCAGGGCGGCGCAAGCGAGGGAGGGAGGGCAGGCAAAGACCTGGGAAGACCAGAAACCAGGGAGCGAGAGTGCATGCCACGAAGGCGCTGCACCGAGGGGTGACCAAGGCGGTGGTGCCACAGGAGGGTCTGGTGCGACAAAGCGCGACACTCGCAGGGGGCCGCTAGCTGACCTGACGCAGACGCAGACGCAGCTACCTAAGGGGACTCAGTGGTCAGTGTGTACAGACTCGAGCTAGGCGCACGGTTAAACGTGGCAAGGTGTCGGCCCGTCCGAGCACACGTACAGTGAGTCACTCGCTGACTCGCAGGAGTGAACTGGTGAACCCCCCTATCCTGGAGGTCAGCTCCACTCACCAAGTTCGTAGAGAACGAGGGGAGGTAAAGACCTGACAGCGAGCCAGACGGGGCGGCCGGACACGGCAGAACCGTGGAATAGTGGGCAAGGACTGGACCCCCAGAGGGGTCCGCCAGGGAGACTGGAACCGGCCGACTAAGCGGCGTGAGCGCGGTGCAGTCGCAAAAGAAGAAGCGGGAAGCTCCTGAGTCAAGGGTGAAGGTGTGCAAGACTGCAGCAAGCGCAGTACCAGAGAGAGCAGACTCACCAGCACCAGGAGCAGAAGCCTCACCAGTACCTAGAGCAGGAGACGTACTAGCACCCAGAGCAGCAGCCTCACCAGCACCTAGAGCAGGAGACGCACGAGCACCTAGAGCAGCAGCCTCACCAGTACCGAGAGCAGCAGGCGCTATACCAGGGTCAGGCGGTACGCACAGGTAACAGGCACGGTCAACACTAGTAGGCAATGCATACATGGCAGTGAGAATAGCATCATAGTCAAGAGCAAAGATATCTACCCCCTGTCCATGCAGCTCCAGCCAGGTGGGGAGCTCAGCCTCGTCGCCAAACACGGTACGCCAGGCATCGCTCAGACGGGCGAAGCAGCGGGACTGTGTGTGACTAAGCGTCCCGCACGGCTGACCAGTCCTAGCACCTGTGCGAATGACGTACGGGCAGCGAACGGTACTCAAAGTCCCACGACTCTGAGCGTACCACTCATGGAGCTGCTGGGACGTAAGTGTCTCGCGTGGACGCCGCTGCAGCTGCAGCTGGCCACCGCCAGAAGCTCCCAACTGACCAGCTCCAGGGCGACAGCTACGACGGCTACCGCGACAGCCCCAACTAGTATACCACTCACTAAGCTGCTGGGGCGTGAGAGACTCGCGTGAACGTCGCTGGAGCTGCATCTAGCCACCTGCTAATAGCAGTAGTAGTAGCAGCAGCTCGGGCAGGGCAGGCGCGACAGGCAGGCAGGCAGGCCGGTAGGCAGGCAGGCAGGCAGGCAGGCAGGAAGGCAGGCAGGCAGGCAGGCAGGCAGGCCGGCAGGCCGGCAGGCAGGCAGGCAGGCAGGCCGGCAGGCAGGCAGGCAGGCAGGCAGGCAGGCCGGCAGGCAGGCAGGCAGGTGCTCACCAAAGGCTGGAAGGGCAGGCGCTCACCGGGCGAGCAGGGCCGGGTAGGCGCACAACGGCGGTGACGGCAAGGCCGCAACAGCGGCTGCAGAGTAGGGCCGCGGCAGCTGCAGGGCGGGGCCGCTTCAGCGGCAGTCGCAGGGTGGGGCCGCGTCAGCGGCAGGTCGGGGCCGCGGCAGCTGCAGGGCGGGGCCGCATCAGCGGCAGGTCGGGGCCGTGGCAGCTGCAGGGCGGGGCCGTATCAGCGGCAGGTCGGGGCCGAGGCAGCTGCAGGGCTGGGCGGGCCGCGCGAGCGGTGCGCGGGGCAGCAGCAGGCCGCGCGCGGGCTGCGCGGGCTCAGTGCGGGCCGCGCAGGCTCAGCGCGGGCTGTGCGGGGCAACACGCGGGGCTGCGACGGGCCGTGCGCGGGCTGCGCGAGGCAGCAGCGGGCTGCGCGCGGCGCGGCGCGGGCTGCGCGGGCTCGGCGCGGGCTGCGCGCGGCAGCAGCGGGCTGCGCGCGGCTCGGCGCGGGCTGCGCGGGCTCGGCGCGGGCTGCGCGCGGCTCGGCGCGGGCTGCGCGGGCTCGGCGTGGGCTGTGCGCGGCAGCAGCAGGCTGCGCGCGGCTCGGCGCGGGCTGTGCGGGCTCGGGGCGGGCTACGCGAGGCTGCAGCGGACTGCGCGCGACTCGGCACGGGCTGCATGGGCTCTTTGCGGGCTGCGCAGGGCGACGCGCGTGCAGGAAGGTGCGCGCGGGCTGGAAGGGCGACACGCGCGGGACAAAAGTAAACAGGAGGCAGGAGGCGTGACAGTCACAAGCATAGTCACAGGCTCATTCGTGGGGTAGCGGTAGGTGGGCCCGAAAAAAAAAAAACCCGGTCCTACGGACCTACTGCTCTGAAACCATGTTAGAAACTAGAGACAGGAATGATTGGATTGAAAGAAGCAAGGGTACAAATAGGAAACCCTAGTTGGGGTTGTACCCCATATTGGCTACCCCACTACAGCCTACCAACATATAGCACATTTATACTTTGATAGCACCCTCCTAGGAGCCCGCCAGTGGTATGGTCGGTGTCTCCCGGGCGCAACGTAGCATGCCAGGATGCTAAGAGGGTACACGAGGTTAGGTCGAGTGCAGGTATTCAGGTACAGGAGGCAACCCACAAGCTCTGGATACTGACCACTCGGCTCTACGGACTCGTCCGAAGGTGGAGCTGAGTGCGAGTGGCCTGTAGGTAGAGGAATGGACTGTGATAAGGAGACCTATACGCCGAAGTGCTGAAGGACCTGGTGCACCACACGTGACTGAGTCAGAGTGATGGTGCGCCGTGCTCTGTCCCGAGTGATCTGCAAGCCAAGATAGCTGCACAGCTCACCAAGGTCAGTGAAGGTGTGTCTCTTCTGCACCTCCGACTTCACAAGGGCCAGTGCCTCAGTGTCAGCAGTAGCAAAGATCAAGTCGTCGACGTACACGAGGATGTAGAATGGCGGCAGCGAAGTGTCGGTGCGTAGAAACAGCGACGGGTCAGTAGTCGAATGAGCAAACCTAAGAGCCGCAAGTGTTGTCCTCAGTGTGTCGTGCCACTCACGAGGCTCCTGGCGGAGATCGTAGACTGGCCGCCGGAGGCTCCACTGGGTACCCTCAGGAAACGACCCAGTGAAGCCAGGAGGGCAGCGCAACCAGGTCTCCTCGTGTAGGCTGCCCTGCAAGAAAGCTGTGCTGAAGTCAAGCGAGTGGAGCTTGTAGTTATGCTGTGCTGCAACGTACAGTAACACCCGAAGAGTGGTCAGGTTTGGGGTGGGGGAGAAGGTATTGAAGAAGTCAACCCCCTGTCGCTGACTGAGGCCTCGTGCAACCTAATGTGCCTTGAAGACAGTCGGAGAACCCGGTGGCCGCTTCACCCTGAAAATCCATATGCCATCGACTATGTTCGCCCCAGGTGGGGGAACTGCGTCGACGTAAATGCCTGCGGACTTCCAGGACGCCATCTCTGCGTCCATGGCTGTCTGCCACTGAGAGGAGTACTGACTCGTGATTGCCTCTGCGTAAGAGCGCGGGGTTGGGATGTCTAGTGCATCCGGGTCTCCCTCAAGGGCAAGCAGCATGGCATCGAGATGAGGTACAGCAGCCGCAAGATACTCGAGCTCAAACTGCCTGTCCTCAAGGACGTCCGTGCCAAGGGCACACTCACCCCCGACGGACGGAGGACAGTCAGACTCAGACTCAGTGACAAGACTCGCGACGTTGTTGGCAAGTCAACAAGCTCAGTGACTAAGGCAGACGCAGCAGCAGACTCAAAAGTAGGGTCAGTGACGGTCGTAGCTAGAACACGTGTGATAGAAGGACTAGCAGCACGAGCAAGGTCAGACGGAGGGTCAGGAACGTCATGAATGGGGGACTTGGGAGGAGACGGTAGAGAAACACGCTGTGGAATAGAGGAAGGACGAAGTGCCATAGTGTGAGTGTTAGGGACTGGTGGATGACGAGGACGAGGAACACGACAAGCTCGACGAACAGTGCGAACAGGCGAGGCAGGACGAGACGCAGGCTCACGACGCTCTGTCACGGAGTCTGGCTGTTTAGTGTAAGAAGGAGCAGGCAGTGTAAGGGTACGTTCTTGGCCGGTGTCTAGCTTCGGGCTAAGTTTACTTGGTGTCAGGCTCCCCAGGGAGGTCTGACACGAAAAAACGATTTTGCCCCATGCTTGTCCATTCCACCTCGTGTCAAGAAGCGTGGCCCGAAGTTTGACACTGGCCAAGAACGTTTCGGTTAATCTAATAATGTTTATGTAGACTATCTCACGGGGTGTGGAGTGGGCTGGAAAGAAGTTGGTTGTGATTCAGATATTGTACAATAAATTTACCCCATAGTGACTGACAGCTATAGTGCAAGCCTGTTATGTCCAACAAGCGGAGCATCTATTAAAGAGATCAATTTTGTTCCTGCAGCTCTGCATTCCCGGGGCAACCCACGGCCTGCCGCTTGAACGTAATCGGGTCAACCCGCTACCATCACAGCAGAATGATAGTAGCGCAGGCGTACATACCGTGACATGGCGTTTCATGGTCATCAGGTCAGCATGCTAGGATTGTTGCGGTGTAGATGTTCGAGTCTCTTCCTCGACCCGCGAACTGGCTTCTAAGGTATGACTGGTCCGGGGTTCGACGACGAGGAAGGCAAGCGCGCTACGGGAAGGGAATTACGGAGAATACAGGGGCGGAGTTAGAACCTGGCGTTGATATTTACGGCGAGGGCCGGAGAATAGCCAAGATGAAGCGTAAAGAGTAGTTTGACATCGATATTGACTTTTGAATTGCCTCACAAATCGCCTCGATCACGGCGAAGGCCGGAGCGTAGCGAAGATGAAGCGTAACGAGGGAGAACCGAAGCGTAAAGAGGAGTTCGACATCGATATTGACGCGCTGCTGGCGGCGGCGAGCGACGACGACGAGCTGGATGACGTGGACGATCTCGAGGAGGGCCTGTGGGGCGGACGCAGCCTGGAGGAGATCCTGAATGACGTGTCAGATGACGATGATGACGTGGCAGGAGCTGGTGACGAAAACTTGGAAAATACACCCAAGTTGAGCGTTTCTGTTCATGATACGACAGGTGCACCAGCAGTTCTGCCTTCTAACGGGGATAACATTCGTTCTCTGACTGTAACTCGTTTAGAGTCTGCCCATTCTGTAGTAGAGCAACCGACAGTCATTCTAGGCCCATTGTCAGCAACGTCCAATGGCTCGTTGCCACGTGGGCCCGGTGGATCAGGCAGCCCCGGAAGCCCTCAGTCTTTGGACGGTCGAGATCTGTCGTTCGGCCTTTGGAAAAACAACGGGACGGAGATGAAGCAGGGAAAGGGGGTCGAAGCCGAGCAGAGGGCAGACCCAGGCGCGGAAATCAAGAATTTGCAGGGAGAGAATTCAAATTCTGTTTTCCTTGAGGCCATACTTGAAGCGTCTTTTGAAATCCATATTGCAAATGAGTGTGAGGAAAAGGGGGTCAGGAAGGTTAATCAGCAAGGGGAGGCGGAAAAAGATGGAGAAGGGGAGGAGGGTGAAGGGACCGAGGGAGAGGGGATGCGGTGTGATGTTCGGGAGCCGTCTTTTGGGCAGTGGAAAGGGAGTGACAGTAAGGGGAGGGTCAATAGTGGGAGTGACAATAAGGGAGATGGTGTGATTATGCTGAGAGAGGTTCGTGACTCAATCAAAGAAGACGGAGGGGTGGCAGTTAGTGGATCAACCCAGCAACAGCAACAGCAGCAGCTACCACTTACACACATGCCAGGAGGGGGAGGAGGAGGAGGAGGAGGAGGAGGAGGAGGAGGAGGAGGAGGAGGAGGAGGAGGAGGAGGAGGAGGAGGAGGAGGAGGAGGAGACGAAGCACAAGGAGAGGTAGGAGGAGACACAAGAGGAGCAAGCTGGGTGGATGCAGTAGGCTCGGCATCCCTAGACAGCCCCCGAAGCTCGGGAAGCGGAGCCACAAGCAACAGCTTCGGAGATTTGTCTGTAGTGAGCGGGAACTCCTGCCCTGTCAGTGTGCTGGGCGGCCGGGGCAGTGCCGGCCAATCTGGTGGGGGTAGCACTGGGGGATCTGCTTTTGGCGGATCAGCTTTTGCAGGGTATGGAGCGGAGAGCGTGGAGGGAAGATTGCACAGGCACGAGCATGGGCATGCACATGGCCATGGGCATGGGATTGGATATGGGAGTCGGTATGGGCACATGAGTCGATCACGAGGGGGTGTGCCTAGGATCAGGCCGGGGGCAGCGTTTGCTGCAGCAGAGGTGGCAGCAGCTGCAGCGGCGCAGCGCCGAGCCCTCTTGTCCCAGGCTCAGGCTCAGGCTCAGGGGCTGGGTCAAGGAGGGTCCTGCTCCTCAGCAGCTGCAGCGGCGCAGCGCCGAGCCCTCTTGTCCCAGGCTCAGGCTCTTTCCACTTCTGCTCTTTCCGCAGTTTCCAAATCTTCTGCTGTGTCTACTGCTGGCACGGTTGCTGCTCCAGCTGCTGCAGATAAATCGGCCAGTGGTGCGTCAGCTGGCTCTGCAGTTGATTTTGAGTCAGCAGCAGTGGCAGCAGAGCCAGTTGGTTCAGCTGCAGCAGAAACGCGAGCAGAAGTTCCCTCTGTGCCCGTGGCGCCTCATGCTGCTGATGTGGGTGCTGCTGCTGCTGGCGTTTCTGTTGGTGCTGCTGGTGACTCAGCTGCTGCTGATAGTTCTGCTCCTACCACTAGTGGTGATGCTGGTGCCATTGGCGGTGGTGGTGCTGGTGCGACTGCTGGTGATGCTGGTGCTGTTGGTGCTGATGGCGCTGGTACTGCTGGTGCAGCTGGGGCTAGTGAAGATGAAAAAAGGCAGCGGGAAGCAGAGGGTAAGGCTAGGGAAGGGGAGGAAACGAGCGAACAGGAGGGAGAAGAGGGCATGGGCAAACGGGTGAGTGTGAGTGGTGAAGCAGGAGAGAGGGACAAGGAGGAATTAGTTGAGGTGGTGGCGATTGAGGAAGAATGGGAAGAAGAGGAGGAAGAGGAAGAGGAAGAGGAGGAGGAAGAGGATGAGGAGGAGGAGGGGGATGGAATGCAGGGGGAAGCGAAGGAAGGTGACGGTTGGGGTATGGGGAACGATGGTAGTGAGGCATTGTCAGCAGCAGCGCTGGCGGGTGAGTTTCAGAGCCTGCGGAGCTTCTGGGTTGACCCACTTCCTTCCTCTGCGTCTGCCTCTGCTGCTGCTGCTGCTGCTGCTGCTGCTGTTGATGCTGCTGCTGCTGCTGCTGCCGCTGGTGCTGCCTCTGCTTCTGTTACTGCTTCTGGCATTGCTGGGGAGGAAGCGGAGGAGGGGGAGGGGGAGGGAGAAGGCAGGGATGAGCTGGCGGCGATGGAAGAGAAGGAGAGGCTGCAGCTGCTGGTGGGGTGGAGGAAGAGTGAGGACGGGCAGGATGGGGTGGTGAAGGAAGGAGCGTCAGGTGAGGGCAGACACGCCACAGCAGCAGCAGAAGCAGGAGCAGCAGTGACAGAACCAGCGAGCGTGTTACGATCTAGTGGTGAACTGGCAGCAGCAGAGCCAGCAGCACCATCACCATCAACAGCAGCAGCAGCAGAAGCAGCAGAAGCAGAAGGCGAAAAAGCGGCAATTGTTGCAGCAGCGACTGCAGCGGCAGCGGCAGCACAAGTGGAACAATCATCAGCGCCACTCACCCCAATCCGCTTCGAGGGCATCGAGAGAGGCCCGCCCGCTGTGGGCCTACTAGAAGTCGACGCCGTGCCGCCCCTCTGCGCTGAGCTGGCACCCGCTGACGTCACTTCCGACCAAACCAACCCAGCAGGACCGGCGCAGCCCGAACCGGGCTTCCGAACCAACCCGCGGTCCGCCACAGCTGTAGCAGTGCACGAGTTGCTGGTGGCAGTGGGGACTGCAGGAGGAAAGGTACTTCTCATGCCTGTGCTACAGCCAGTCCTGCACGGTTCCCCTTCCCCCCATCAGCTCACCCCTGCTCCCGCCCGGATCACAGAGCTGATTCCCCCTCTGTCCGCCTTTGCCAGTTCCCCAATGAGGCACGGAGGGACGGCAGTGTCTGTGCTAGCGTTCTCCCCAGCAGCTGATCTGCTCGCAGCAGGCCTCGCATCCGGGGCTGTTGTGCTGTGGGATATCTCCTCCCTCCGCCCACGCTTTCCTGCTTCTTCTTCTGCTGCTGGTGCTGCTGGTGGTGGTGGTGCTGGTGGTGAGGCGAGAGGGGGGAGGAAGGGTGGGGGGAGGGCGGGGGCGAGCGGCGGGGGAGGCGTGGGGGGATTGGGGAGTGCGCTGGGGGGGTTGGTGGCTCCGGTGGTGAAGGTGGTGTGGGAGCACGCTGCTGCTGTCGTGCATGCTGGCTTCGCTGCGTCAGGATTCCCTGCTTCTGCTGCTGGTGCTCTTTCTACCAGCGGTGCTGCTGGTGGTTCTGGTGCTGCGTCTGGTGGTGTGAGCGGTGGTGCTGGTGCTGCTGCTGCTGCCACCGGTTCCGGTAAACGGGGAAGCGGGGGAGGAGGAGGAGGAGGAGGAGGAGGAGGCAGGGAGGGAAGAGGGAGGAGGGGGGGAGAGCATGGGGAGTGATTTTGGGGCGGGGCTGGTGAGTGGAGCCACGAGCCTTATGAGCGGAGCAGCAGGGGGGCTGATGGGGGGAGCGGCAGGGAGGAGCTACGAGGTGGTGACGGGGGATGCCATGGAGTATGTGGTGCTGCACTCTGTCACCTACCTGCCCTTCCTTCGCACCATGAATGTCACTTCTCGAAAGGTGCGTGAATGTCTTTCTATGAGCCCCCGGTGCTGCTGTGTGAATTTCCCCTGCTGCTGCTGCTGCTGCTGGACCTTATCACCTGTCTATCTGCCTTTCCTGTGCATTCAAAGCGTGACTTTAAGGAAAGTGCAAGCCTTCAGTCAGCACTTTCTGTCGCCCATGGTCTACCCATTTGAGAGTCTGTTAATCTTTCATTCTTTCCTTTCCCCACCTTACCCTTCATGTCCTCGCTTTTTCCTCTCCTTTTTTCCTGTTTTTTTTTTCCTGTTTCCCCTCTCCGCATCCCATCCCATCCTGTCCAGATTGGTGGTCGCTGCCTGTTGCTCTCTGCCTGGTTACCGGGTCCCATCCACCCTTCCCAGCCTGCTTCCACCAGCTCCAACCCAGCCTCCCAAACCTACCAGCCAGGCTGTGCAGGGCCTGCGCAGCAGGGTGGATTTCCAGGCTCGGGAAAGAGCATTGGTGTGGCAGCAGAGGCAAGGCAAGGAGGGGGAGAAGGAGGGGTAGGAGGAGGAGGAGGGGGAGGGGAGAAGGGGGAGGGGGTAGCGGAGGAAGTGACAACGGGAGAAGTGATGATGGTGACAGACAAAGTGCTGCTGCTGGTAAGTGTTCGAATCATGTAGATGTAGATCATATCATATCACTAGGTTCTGAGAATTCTCAAGAAACTTGTACCCATCCATCCACATGCTCGTCCAAGCCTCTCCACAAGTTTGCTTCCATACGCATGCTCAACCTGCTTGCTAGTGAAGCGTCTCAAAGTCCCCTGCACTTCTCTCTGCCCTCCCCATCAACCCACCCGCACCGCAGGTGCAAATTCTCCCCAAGTTCGCCCCCATATGCACGCTCGACCTGCTGCCCTACGCCCTGGACCCCAACAGCACCGCCCTCCCCTACGCTGCCTGGCGCTGGGGCCTCTCCTTCCGCCGCGCCCCGCCCCCTCCCTCCCCCCTCCACAAACCCGCAGCCTCCCGCCTCGTCCCTTCCTCCTCCACCCCGTCCTCCTCTTCACCCCCTTTCTCCTCGTCTCCCTCCTCCTCGTCTCGTGTGAGTCCCCCTCCTCCCACACCTCTGGTGCTCCCTCGCTCATCTGCTAGTACCGGCACTGGCGGTAGTGGCAGCAGCAGCTCAAGCACCCGTGGTAGTGCCAGCATCAGCATCAGAAGCAGTGAGGGTGGGCGAGCAAGTGTGGGAGGAGGTGCAGGGACTGGTGGTGGTGGAAGGGGGACAGGGGAGGGGAGCAGGGGTGGTCCTGCTGCAGATAGGACTGGTAGTGGGGGGAGTGGGAATGGAGGAGCAGAGGGAGGGGGACGAGGAGGAATGAATGATAAACCGGCATCAGCGTCACTCCGATCATCGCCACCACTGCCACCACCATCATCAGCAGCCGGGGGAGAAGGGGGAGGAAGGGGAGCAGTAGCAGGGGCAGCAGCGCGGGGGCCGTGGGTGCAGGAGAAGGTGTTTGCGTTGGGGTGGGGACGGGTGGTGCTGGTGGTGAGTGCGAGTGGGCGAAACATGGAGGTCATTCACCGCTGGGACGTGCACTCCACAGTCGCTGGCCTTGCATGGCTGGACCACCAGGTGAGTCCGTTAGGCCGAGGCCTTGCATGACATGGCATGGCATTGGCTGGAAGGAAGCAAGGCATAGCATGGTCATGGACCGCTGGGACGTGCACTCCACAGTCGCTGGCCTTGCATGGCTCGACCACCAGGTATGTGCACCAGATGGCTGTGGTGTGGGGTGTGGTGTCAGCTTGGGCGTGGGCATGGGCATGGGCGTGGGCATGGGCTTGGGCGTGGGCATGGGCATGGTCATGGGCATGGGCGTGGGCATGGGCATGGGCATGGGCATGGGCATGGGCACGGGCATGGGCATGGGCATATGCATGAGGGCATAGGCATGGGCATGGGGGCATGGGGGCATGGGCATGGGCGTGGGGGCATGGGCATGACCACACTGGCATAATGCAAGCCAGTTGGCCCTATCCCATATCTTTACCGCCCTTGCATGCACCATTCCGTCTTCCCTCCTCCTTCATCCCTCCATTTTCTACCCATTCCATATTCCCCTACCTCTCACTGCCTTTTCTTCTTCCCGCTGCCCCTCATCAGATTCTCCTCATCCTCACGGCCTCGGAGCACTTTTGTCTTTTCTCGCTGGGCGGCCAGCCAATCAAGCGCCAGCCCTTGCTACACTACGACTCAGACTCAGATTACAGCAGCTACTGTGCCGCCGGCCACGGCCGTTTCGGCCTGGTCTTCCACGCCTTTTTGTCTCGTAGCGGCCGCCCGATCCCCTCGTTCCAGAACAGCGTCGCCGCCTGGAGTAGCGGGGCGGCGGCGTTCGTCCTCTTGCAAGGGGGCGGCATGGTGGTGCGGGCGCACTTACTATCCTGGAAAGAGAGAATCAAATCTCTGGAAGCGGCCGGCGACTGGATGAATGCGCTTCACACTGCAATGGAGATCTACCAAGGGAGGGCGGTGGGCGTAACAGGGTTACCATGCGACCCGGAGGAGCTAGCATCAGAGATGGGGGCTCTCCTCTTAGCATACATAGAGCAGGTTTTCTCATACTTAAAGCAGAGCGCGGCAGCGCTTACCCCGAAAACACTTAGCCCAGCGGTACTTAGCCCCGTTGCACTCAGTCCTGTAAATGCCAGTCCTGAATCATCACCTCGCCACCCAAGCTCGTCTGGGAATCATTCCACTGCGTTTGCAGCTGAGGGTTCCGACTTAGCAAGAGCAGCAGCAGCGGCGGCGGCGGCGGCAGGGGCAGCGGGAGGGGAGCAGAGGGAGGAGTATGTGCGGGTGGGCGGGGTGGCGATCAAGTTCTGCATCCACGTGCACCAGCTGCCCCTGCTGTTTGGGGCTGTGTTTGACAAGTTTACCCAGAGAGGGCAGCGAGGTGAGAGGGGGTGTAGGGTGGTAAGAGGGCAGAATCGCAGATGTGTGGGGATGCTGGTTGGGCGGGGTGGCGATCGAGTTCTGCATCCGCGTGCACCAGCTGCCGCTGCTGTTGGGGGCCGTGTTTGTGATTTCACCCAGAGGGGCCAGCGAGGTGAGAGGGCAGATTTGTGGAGATGCGGATTGGGTTGTGCTTAAATGAGACTTCTGCATTCGCGTGCACCAGCTGCCGCTGCTGTTCAGGGCGGTATTTGAGAGATTCACCCAGAGGGGCCAGCGAGGTGAGAGGAGAAGCTGAAAATTTTCTGGAGCTCCTGGCGCCTGTTGATTCGACTCGAAAAATCGCCTGGAGATTTCTCACCCCCCTCTCGCCCGCCACTCCTCCGTACAGGGAGCCATACATCCTTACACATGTGGCTTTTGAGTTCACACAGAAACTCTCAACCCCTTGTCGCGCCCTGCGACATCTTCCTGCAGGCAAACCTTGGAGTTGCTGGAGCCATACATTCTCACAGAGGTGACTTGCGAGTGCACTCTACATCCTACATCTTTCTCTTCCCCCACCCAACCATCCCCCCCCTGTCTCTGGTGTGTGCATGCAGGCATCTTCCTGGAGCTCCTGGAGCACTACATCCTCACAGAGAGGTGACTTGCTATGGCTCACCTTGTACATTTCATCTTTCTCTTCCCCACCCATCCCCTCTCCTCTGCTCCCTGGCAGGCATCTTCCTGGAGCTCCTGGAGCCCTACATCCTCACGGACCACCTCAGCACGCTCCCTCCTGAGGTAACACCTGTCTAGATGGACCTGAAGTCGTTGTTGAGATTGGGCCATATGAATGAACCACCTCAGCAACCTTCTCGCCAAGGTAACACCTGACTGGATGCACCTATTGTTTCTGTAAACCTTAAACGATATGGTCTTACCAGGTGAGGAAGGCAGGCAGGCACTAGTGTCAGTGTGAGGGAACGCACACCAGGGTGCGGCACCAGGGTGTAGGGCGGTAATAGTATGGGTGCTTTGTTCATTTATGCGCTCTTGTGTTTTTTTAGGCGCCTTGAAAGTATGGTTGCTTGTCCCCTTCATCCCCCCACACCAGGTGATGCAGGCGCTGGTGGAGCATTACAGTGGGAGGGGGTGGCTGTCTCGTGATGGGAGAGGGGCAAGGGGATTGTCTTTCTTTTTGAACCTCCGTTTGTGCGCTCTTCTCCCTCCGCTTCGCTCCCACCAGGTGATGCAAGCGCTGGTGGAGCATTACAGTGGGAGGGGGTGGCTGTCACGCGTACAGCAGTGCGTGCTCCATATGGACATCGCATCACTCGACATCAACCAGGTGTGTGTGTGTGTGTGTGTGTGTGTGTGTGTGTGTGTGCGTGCGTGCGTGCGTGCGTGCGTGCGTGCGTGCGTGCGTGCGTGCGTGCGTGCGTGCGTGCGTGCGTGCGTGCGTGCGTGCGTGCGTGCGTGCGTGCGTGCAGGCGGTCGTGCGTGCGTGCGTGCGTGCGTGCGTGCGTGCGTGCGTGCGTGTGTGTGAACTCGGCCTCCTTTTTGCATCCATTCGCTTTTGAGACTGATCAAAGGTGTGCAGCAGTGCGTGCTCCATATGGACATCGGCTCGCTAGACATCATCCAGGTGTGAACTCACCCTTTATTCGCCTTTGAGGGTATCAAATGCGTGCAGCAGTGTTTGCTGCACATGGACATCGCCTTGATTGATCTCTCTCTGCAAGGGTAGGGTTGTTGCACTGCTTCCCTTCCAACCATGAACGACTTGCCGAGTGCAGCAGTGTGTGCTGCTCTCGGCACCACACTGCTGCACTCGGCACCACACTGCTGCCTCCTGGTTGGACATCGCCTCACCTGACGTCAACCAGGCGTGAACCCATCGTCACCTGCTCTCATGTGGTTGATTCTCCTTTTAGATGTGCAGCACAACACGCACTGCTGCACACATCTGCAATAATCAGATATGTGCAGCAGTGCGTGTTGTGATGCACATGGACATTTCCTAGCTCAATATTAACAACCAGGTGTGATTGATTGATCCCCTCTCAGGTGGTGCGCCTGTGCCGTCAACACAGCCTGCACTCAGCCCTCATCTACCTCTTCACTCGCGCCCTCGCGGATTTCGTCTCGCCGGCCCAGCAGCTCCTCTCCACCCTCCTCGCCTCCTCCTCCTCCTCAGCTCACAGAAGTGGTTCGGGGGGGGAGAGGAGTCGGGAGAAGCAGAGGCATAAGAAGCTGGAGGGGGAGAATAAAGAGGAGAGGGAGGAGGGCCGGCAGTGCGGGTGAGCTGGATTTGCCTCTCTATGGTCACTTTTGAGTCGGCTCAAAAGGCAGTGCGGGTGAGCTGGATTTGCCTCTCTATGGTCACTTTTGAGTCGGCTCAAAAGGCAGTGCGGGTGAGCTGGATTTGCCTCTCTATGGTCACTTTTGAGTCGGCTCAAAAGGCAGTGCGGGTGAGCTGGATTTGCCTCTCTATGGTCACTTTTGAGTCGGCTCAAAAGGCAGTGCGGGTGAGCTGGATTTGCCTCTCTATGGTCACTTTTGAGTCGGCTCAAAAGGCAGTGCGGGTGAGCTGGATTTGCCTCTCTATGGTCACTTTTGAGTCGGCTCAAAAGGCAGTGCGGGTGAGCTGGATTTGCCTCTCTATGGTCACTTTTGAGTCGGCTCAAAAGGCAGTGCGGGTGAGCTGGATTTGCCTCTCTATGGTCACTTTTGAGTCGGCTCAAAAGGCAGTGCGGATGAGCTGGATTTGCCTCTCTATGGTCACTTTTGAGTCGGCTCAAAAGGCAGTGCGGGTGAGCTGGATTTGCCTCTCTATGGTCACTTTTGAGTCGGCTCAAAAGGCAGTGCGGGTGAGCTGGATTTGCCTCTCTATGGTCTTCCCCCAAATAGCTTTTTACCGAGTCACTTCTGAGCCATCTCAAATGTGACTGAAACAGAGTTCGTCTTTGCCTCGTTATGGTCTTCCCCCAGGTATCTTGTAACTTATTTGACTAGAAAGGGAGAGGCTTGAGTGGAGAAGGTTTGTTGAACGAGTGAGGTCTGACATGTACCTGTTCCCCCGTCTCCCCGATGCCTATTGCCCTACACCTCGCCCGTCTCCCCGATGCCTATTGCCCTACACCGCTCCCGTCTCCCCGATGCCTATTGCCCTACACCTCGCCCGTCTCCCCGATGCCTATTGCCCTACACCTCGCCCGTCTCCCCGATGCCTATTGCCCTACACCTCGCCCGTCTCCCCGATGCCTATTGCCCTACACCTCGCCCGTCTCCCCGATGCCTATTGCCCTACACCTCGCCCGTCTCCCCGATGCCTATTGCCCTACACCTCGCCCGTCTCCCCGATGCCTATTGCCCTACACCTCGCCCGTCTCCCCGATGCCTATTGCCCTACACCTCGCCCGTCTCCCCGATGCCTATTGCCCTACACCTCGCCCGTCTCCCCGATGCCTATTGCCCTACACCTCGCCCGTCTCCCCGATGCCTATTGCCCTACACCTCGCCCGTCTCCCCGATGCCTATTGCCCTACACCTCGCCCGTCTCCCCGATGCCTATTGCCCTACACCTCGCCCGTCTCCCCGATGCCTATTGCCCTACACCTCGCCCGTCTCCCCGATGCCTATTGCCCTACACCTCGCCCGTCTCCCCGATGCCTATTGCCCTACACCTCGCCCGTCTCCCCGATGCCTATTGCCCTACACCTCGCCCGTCTCCCCGATGCCTATTGCCCTACACCTCGCCCATCTCCCCGATGCCTATTGCCCTACACCTCGCCCGTCTCCCCGATGCCTATTGCCCTACACCTCGCCCGTCTCCCCGATGCCTATTGCCCTACACCTCGCCCGTCTCCCCGATGCCTATTGCCCTACACCTCGCCCGTCTCCCCGATGCCTATTGCCCTACACCTCTCCCGTCGCTCTCTTCCCTGCGTTCTAACCCTCTTGTCCCTTTTGTCCTTCTCCTTTCCTCTCTCCCCCCACCTCAGCTATCGTCTGCTGCTTTTCCTCAAGCTCACCTTTTCCGGCCTCAACTTCCCTCCAGGTAACCCCTCCTGCATGCGTCTCGTCCTGTTAGTGTTTTGTTTTCTAGGCATCTCAAGAATCAGGTTATTTCCGTGTAACCGCTTGCCTGATTCTTGTCCTCTTGGTAACTGCCTGCTCTAGAAGGTTCCTTGTCCAGGGTTTAGGGTTCGGCTTGGGCTGCTGAGGGCATTGAGTTGAGCTTTGAGGCGCCTCAAAACTCACCTCAATGCTCGCAGATCTCATTTGGGCTGAGGGCAGTAGGGCGCCGCCCACCCCACCACTCCTCCTCCTCTCCCTTCTTTCTGAGAATTCTCAAAAACCAGTCCCTATCCTGAGTGTTTTGACCTTGCAATGTCCTCATTCCTTGTTTTGCTCTTTGTGACACCCCCACCTTCCCCCCCCCCCCCCCCCCCCCCCCCCCCCCTTCCCCATCACCCCCTCCCGTTGCTCATCCCCCCAGGCAGTGGCGCAATCTCCCCATCTCTCCTGCCCTCAGCTCAAGCCGAGCTCCTCAACTTCCTCCTCAAACCCCACCGCCCAACTCGTCACCGCCCCTCCTCCCTCTCCCCCTCCTCCCACGCGCTCCTCTGCTCACCCCTCGCTAGCCTCCTCTCCTTCGATCCCCACGCCACACTTTCTGTGCTGCGCGTGATTCTCCGCTCTGTGTGCATACTGGATCAGCCACAAACGAGTACAGAGCAGCAGCCCAAAACGAGTGTGGATTCGACGCCGATGACTCATAGGGGTGCGGGTGCAGCTTATAACGAGGATGCTAGTGTAGATCCAGCTGCTGGTGGTAGACTTGTTTTTACTTTATTAGAAATAGTTCGCTCCTGGTGCGAGGCGGCAGATGCAATAAGGAGTAACGAGGAATCCAATAAGGGAGCCAACGACATTGTAGCTGTAGTGTCACCAGCAGCAGCAGGTTCGGATGCAGGCTCGGACCAAGGCTCGGATGTAGGTCTGGGACTAGGCATGGGCTTCGATAGGCTCGGGGATGCAGCAGGCAGGGTGCTAGAGCTAGTGGCAGAGGCGGCAGCAGCAGGGAGAGTGCAGCTGGATCGACCCTCTCTCAACACCATCTTCGTTTATCTCACATCCGCTACTGTCACTTTTGATCTTCACGCCCTGCCCACTGCCTCTGCAACTGGTGCTGATGCCTATGCCATTGCTGGTGCTGGTGCTGGTGCTGGTGCTGGTGCTGGTGCTGGTGCTGGTGCTGATGCCTATGCCATTGCTGGTGCTGGTGCTGGTGCTGGTGCTGGTGCTGGTGCTGGTGCTGGTGCTGGTGCTGGTGCTGGTGCTGGTGCCTATGCCATTGCTGGTGCTGGTGCTGGTGCTGTGAGTAAGGGAGCTGTACAGAAGCAGCATTCCTCCTCCTCCCCCTCGTCACCCGCCTCTCGCCCGGCGCTCTCCCTCCACTCCCCCTCTGTGAGGCGGGCTCAGAGGGAGGAGCGGATGGATGGGCTCGTGATGGCTCTGCCTGACTCCTGCAGGGTGGACTTGAACGCCCTCCTGCCCTTGGCACTGCAAGCAGGCTTTCACCAGGTGAGCAAGACTGGGAACAAGAGGCCGGCTGGTGATGGCTCTGCCTGACTCCTGCGGTGTGGATTTCAACGCCCTTTTACCCTTGGCTCTTCAAGCCGGTTTTCACCAGGTGAGTTGGCCGTTGCTCTGTATTGATTTTGCCAAGGAGATGGGAGTCAGAGGGAGGAGCGGATGGAGGGGCTGCTGATGGCTCTGCCGGACTCCTGCGGTGTGGATTTCAACGCTCTCCTGCCCCTGGCGCTGCAAGCCGGATTCCACCAGGTGAGGGGGGGGGAGATGAAGAGGAGGTGCAGGGGGCGAGAGAGACAGGGTGCTGCGGGGGAGCGGATGGAGGGGCTGGTGATGCCTCTGCCGTCAGCCATGAAGACTAGGGCGAGCAGCAGTTAGAAAGATACTTTTAGCAAAAGAAAGACAGTGAGGGCGTATCCAGGTTCGGGTCATGAGCACTGTTCCGGGCATGCGCGATTTGCGGATGACCCAAACAACATTAAACGCATGTTTGGGTCATGCGACCCAAAATTGCCGCGAGGGTCATTAGCGAGACCCACGCAAAACCACGCGACACTCACTGAGAAAACACATCCGTCAAAATTCCCGGAGCGAATTCCCAAATGTTGGGAGCGCGACGCGGGAAATTTTAGACACACTCGGGGTCAATTTGCCGAGTGGTTGGGTGCAGAGGTGTAAGACGTGGGACACTGCCCACGTGTGACACTCGACTGCCGAACGACAAAAAGATGGCAGTAACACCACAATCGTGCAACCAGGTGATTGGTTGTGGGTGGGTCGTGCACGTCAGTCGCCCAACACCTGCACATTGACCCAAAGCTGGGGCCGCGCGCGGCTCGGCAGCCCACTTCGGGTCATGCGCAAATCCCGCATGACCCGAACAGTAGCCAGAACAGTGCTCATGACCCGAACCTGGATACGCCCTGATACTCTCTGTGTGTTGTACCAAGAACTCTGGTAATCCGAACTCTCAAGTCCACTATAGAGATTAAAACGCAAACCAGTTTCGGTTGAAGAGGAGGTGCAGGGAGCGAGAGAGACAGGGTGCTGGGGGGGAGCAGATGGAGGGGCTGCTGATGCCTCTGCCAGACTCTCGCGGGGTGGATTTCAACGCCCTGCTACCCCTGGGCCCTGGCGCTGCAAGCTGGATTCCACCAGGTGAGGAAGGATGAAGGGATGCAGAGGCTTATGCTCACTCCCTTCCCCCTCTTCTTCCCCCCCCCCCCACACACCCCCAACCAGGTGTGTGCGCGTCTGTTCATGCGAACACACGGCATGCTGGGCATACACCAAGCGCTCTCTTTTGCACGTGCCCGCACTGACTAGTCAATTACATACTCCCTTCCCCCTTCTTCTTCTCCTCCCCCCCACCCCTGCTGCACCCCCCAACCAGGTGTGTGCGCGTCTGTTCATGCAAACACACGGCATGCTCGGCATACACCAAGCGCTCTCCTCGCTCCTCACAGACCCTTACTGGCAGTCAAAGTATCCCAATCTCCTTCCACCCCTCCCCCTACCCTTCCAACCAGGTGTGTGCGCGTCTGTTCATGAGAACACACGGCATGCTCGGCATTCACCAGGCGCTCTCCTCGCTCCTCACAGACCCCCACCACCCCGACATGCCCTTTCGCCTCATCCAAAAGGCAGCCCTCGCTCTCACCCGTAGGCACGGGGCGGTGGGCGGGGAGGAGGGTGCTGCGCTGCGATTGGCTGTCAGGCGCCACCTGGCGCAGCTGGTGCGGCTGGACGGCTGCACTTGTCTGTATGTGGCGCTGGGGCTGCTGCGGCTGGATCTGGATTTGATTGTGAGTGCAGATCTTGCCGGCCGGCCGCAGCTGCAGTTTGCTCTGCTGCGTGCCCTCTTCTCCTCCCATTCGCAGCATCCTCCTCTGCTGCTGCTGCTCCCATTGTTGCCAGCACCACCGGCAGGTGTATCAGCAGCATCAGCAGGCCCTAACACAGCATCAGGAGGAGTTCCAAAATCAGCAGCGGGTGAAGGGACAGCAGCAGCAGCAACACAACTACAAGAAGGATCAGAACGGAAAGGAGGGGATGAGGGGTTGGGGAAGGAGGAGTGGGAGGAGCAGAGGAGGCAGCTAGCAGCAGCAGCATCCCCGCGAATGGTCGAGCTTTATATCGAGCTGCTCTGTATCTACGACCCTCCCGCCCTGCTGCCCTTCCTCCAATCACCTCTCGCCACCTGTCGTCTCGACCGCTGCCTCCGCGTCTGCCTCGCGCACATCTCGCCGGCGCTCGCCGCGCTGCCACGTCAGCCCGTGCCAGGTCAGCAGGGCGCGCCTCAGCAGGGCGCGCCTCCGCAGGCGCCACGTCAGCAGGCGGGGGGAGAGCCAGTCCTGAACTGCCACATCAGCGCTGCGGCGCGGGTGCTTCTGGAGCGAATGGGGTTGGTTTATGAGGCGCTGGCTCTGCTTCTGGTGGAGCTGCACTGCTGCTTGCGTGCTATGGATAGAGGGATTGCTGGGATGATGATGAGGAGGAGCAAGAGGAGGATGGGGGTGATGGGGAGAACTGTAGCGGGGGCAATGGCTGAGGGTCCTGAGAGTGAGGTGGGGAGGAGGGGAGAGGGTGAAAGTGGAGGCGAAATCAGGGCTGGCGTGAGGGGAACGTCGAGTCTAGAGCAAGGAAAGGAGGGACAAAAGAGGAGGAGGAGGATTAGGAGGAAGGAGAGTGGTGGGCTGATGGCACGAGTTTTCCAGATGGAAGAGGTGAGAGATCTGTACCTCCGCATATGATTTGAATTAGGTTTCTTCATCTCCACCCTTCCTATGCCGCGCAATGTTGTTTCTTCATCTCCACCCTTCCTATGCCTCGCAATGTTGTTTCTTCATCTCCACCCTTCCTATGCCTCGCAATGTTGTTTCTTCATCTCCACCCTTCCTATGCCTCGCAATGTTGTGTACCTCGTTCGCTATCTGCCTGCCTCTAGGTGACTTTTGAGTCGACTCATGAGTCGACTTTTGAGTCGACTCAAAAGTCACAACGTTGTGTACCCCGCTATCTGCCTCTCCTCGCCACTCTTCTTCCAGCAATGCTCCGGTCCGGTCCGGGTCACAATGCGTTATTTTTGAGAATTCTCAACTCAAAAAGCACTCGTCCGGGTCACAATGTGTTGGAGTCGACTCAAAAGGGCACGATGCTTTTCCTCAATATCTTCTCCTCGCACGCACGCACGCACGCACGCACGCACTTCTCCCCCTTCTCCAACATCTCTCCCCCCATCAGGTGCGAGTGCTGCTGGCTATACAGCACGAGGCACTGGCTCTCTGTGCGCGCAGCGCAGCATGAGCAGGCTGCCCCACTGAGAGTGCCCTTGTCGTTTCGCCTTAACCCCGTCTTCCCCCTTCTCTCTTACCCCATCTCTCCCCCCATCAGGTGCGAGTGCTGCTGACCATACAGCATGAGGCACTGGCTCTCTGTGCGCGCAGCACGGGCAGGCTGCCTCACTGGCAGTGCCGCGCCATGTGGCGAACCCTCCTTGACTGGTGGGTGTGACTGTTGGGAGCGTGAGTGATGAGAGTGGGAGGGATGAAGCACAGCGGTTGTGTTGCTGTGTGATGGTGCATACGCAGCTGCGACCTTTGTCATTCGACGCAAGGATAACATACGCCATGTCATGGAAGTCATCGGAAGCAAAATGGCAGCACTCGATGGGCGCATGGCACACCGACTTGGATGCACCTCCTATCTCCAAGTCGAGGGATTCACGTTGTGCCATGCCCCCCTCGAGTGCCTCCATCTCACATTCAATGAGTTCCATGACATCGCGTATGTTATCCTTTCGCTGAATGTTGAAAGCGGCAGCTGCGTATGCGTATGCCGCGCCCTCCTCTCTTGTGTGGTCGGTAGAAGTGTGACAAATGTGAGCGAATCACGTGGGAGTGTGATTGTAGTGGATGCTGATGTTGGTGCAGGACTTGTCAACAATGAGCAGGTGGGCCACGTGAAACAAGTGTAGTTTTGAGACGTCTCAAAACCACACTTCCTTCACGGAGTGTGATTATAGTGGACGCTGATGTCGATGCAGGACTTGTCAATGATGGACAGGTGGGCTGCGGAGGCCTTACTTCCATCAACCATTGTAGATGTGAATCTAGTGGATGCTGATGTTGTGCCCTTTCTCTTCTCCTCCTTGTTCATTCTCCACTGCCTCCCCCCCAACAGCTTTCTCCTACCCCTCAGGGGTCTCCCCATCCCGTCTGCGCCACCTGCCATCCCACCAGCACATCCCTCCCCATCACACACACCTCCCAACCGCTGGCACTCGCTCTACTCACACCTCCTTACAGTCACAGGGGCGTCTGGCACAGCAGGGGCAGGCAGGAGCGGGGTGCAGTCCCCTGCAGGTGATTCCTCAGGTGGATTTTCAGGTGAAAACGGCCAGCCGGGGGTTGCTTCGTCTGCACTGAGCTCGTTTCCGGCGCCGTCTCTGCCGCCTTCCCTCTTTCCTCCTCCTCCACCGCCGCTCTTCTCCACTTGCTGTCACGCACTTGTGCTGCTTCGGGAGCAGCAGCAGCAGCAGCAGCAGGAGCAGCAGAAGGGAGATGGGGAGGAAGAGCAGGAACAAGAGCAACACCAACACCAACAGCAGCAGCAGCAAACGCAGCGGTGGCGACGGCAGGACAGCCGTCCGCAAGCCTGCGATTTGATTCTGTTCGCCGTCCGGTTCCTGCTACAGTGCTGCGCAACAGCCACTGTAGCAGAGATGGCAGGGATGGTGCCTCTGCCAGTCGTTACTGCCTGGCTACTTGGCGCTGGCGAGAAGCAGAGAGCTGGGGAATGGGGACGACATCTCATTCAGGGTGCAGCAAGGACAGCAATGACAATGCCAGAGAATGGTCACAAGGAGGGCGCAGCAAGGACAGCAGGGGATGTGGTGGGGGGGCTCCTGGAGATTTTAGGCCGGGCAGGGTCGGATCAGCAGCTATTGGCTGCTGCTGCCCGGGCAGCCAATACAGATTCTTTCTCGCACTGCTCCTCCCTGCTCTCCCTCCTTCAGCACCCCACCCGTCCCTCCTCCCGCTCCTGCCGCCTCTGCTCCACTGCCCTGTACTCCCCAGCGTCGTCAACTGCTAAAGGAGCAGCTGCACCACCACCACCATCCGCTCTGCTGCTACCACGATTGCCAGCCACAGCAGCTGCAGCAGCAGCGGCATTATCAGCCGCAGCTGCAGCCGCAACAGCAGCAGCAGCAGCAGCAGGGAAGAGATCAGCAGCAGGAGGAGCAGCAGTGGAGGTGTTTCTGTGTGGGCACGGGTTTCTCAGAGAGTGCTTGCAGCGCCACCACCACGACTGCTTTTCCTTCCCTCCCCCGGACCAGTGCCCAACCTGCGGCGCCTCTGCCACCCGCCTTGTCCCCTCGCACCTCTCCGCTGTTGCTGTTGGTCCAGCTGTCAATGCCGCCTATTCTGCTGGTCATGCCGCCTCTTCTGCTGCTCTGGCAGTGGGTGGGGCCAGTGGGTTGGCTGCTTCGCTGCTGGAGGCACCAGAGGAGAGGGATGGAGGGAGGGGAGGGGCAGGAGGGGCGTCGGTAGTGAATGGTGGGACGTCTGCTGGTGCGTCCTCTTTATCATCGTCCTCAATAAGCGCAAGGGTGAGCTTTAGTGGCATGTGTGAGCAGCATGTTCTCATGCCAGCTAAGCATGTGTGAGCGGCAGTTTTTCATGCCAGCTCACGTTCAGACACCTTCAGTCATTGCAGCTTGCATCATCACTTCTCTAGTCCCCTATTTACGATTCTCGCCCTTCATTTCCCAACAAGTTCAAAGGCAACTCATTTGTCTTACCCTGAATTGTGCCCTCTCCTTCCCCCTCCACCTTGTGTGCAGCTTTTCACGCTAGAAGCATCCAGGAAACAGCAGCAGCAAGACGAGTCATGCCGACTAAAACGTCTTCATGCCACGTCAGCACCTCGTTCCGCTGCTGCAAGAGGGAGGGGGAGATGCGTGGGGGACGAGGGCAGGGAAGAGGGGGTAAGGAACGGTTGAGAGAGCAGACGGAGGAGTTACAGAATAAACGGGAGGAGAGGCTAAGGGCTGCTACTCAGAGGCAGCAGCAGCAGCGGCTGGGCATGTTTAATCCATTTGGCCGATTCTTAAGGGGAGGAACTGGCTCATAAGTGTTGGGCCTATGTTGATGAGTCCTTGATGTTGTTTTTCCTAATGTGGTTATTTCAAAATTGGGAACGATTCATTTGCCAATATAATATGGTGTACTGCTTTCATGCAGAGCTTGTGGGTCATTGCTGATAATTGCACACACTTCTTTGGTGATGATGTATGTTTATTCGTCATGCTAAAAAAACTATGTAGGCACCGAAATATCAAAATCAAATGGGAGTGACTACAAAGCCACAGGACCCCAAAATCGCAACGATGTCACCTCATCGGTGCCCTCAGGTGCGCGTGATTTCGGTCGGGGAATAGTAACACCACGACAACTTTCGCGCATCGAGAGTTGCGACGGGATTGGTCGCTGAAATTAAGAAGCCATGATGGAACTTCACCGTACTACAACACTTTGTACCTAACTCAAAACGTCCATACGTCCTTGAACCTTTACCATACTTTGTGTTTGCCCGAGAAAGATCTCAAGGTCCCAGAAGCTGCTTCCGTACTGTGATCTGTCCCTCACTCAATTCTATTCACATCCCAATTTTCCAAATCAGTTTCCTGATTCCTTTTTTCCCGCTCTTCCCCGTTGCGCCATAACTCTAGTACGTCTACTAGCTCGCAACTTACTGTTCCGTTGCAGACGAGGCTATGGCGTCCGGACCGCCTCCTCCCACAATGGGCGGCATTCAGCCAATGACGCTCCCGGAGGTTCAGGAGAAGATTGACCAGCTTTACGGCGACCGCAACGCGAAGAACATCGGCGAAGGCCTCGGCAAGGGTCTGATGTCCGTTGGTAAGGGCGTGTTCGCCGGCGTCGGAGGGCTCATCGTTGCGCCAGTAGCGGGGCTGGTGCAGCAAGGCGGCGTCGGGCTGATCAAAGGAACCATCGCGGGAGTTGCGGGTCTGGTCGTTTTGCCGACCGTCGGGATCGTGCAAGGCGCGCGGCAGCTGGGCGAGGGGATTAAGAACACTCCCGACGCGGTTCGGGAGATGATGAAGAAGGATAAGTGTGAAGAGGAGGCGGAGAAAGCGGAGGTCGTGGACGATGACGACGCGGATAAGCTTAACGAAGAGACGTACTCGTTTACTCGCGAAACTGTCGAGAAGATCGCGCTCGAAGAGGAAACCGCGAAGCCCGCGGAAGCCGCGGCGGCGCCGGCGGAGAAGCGGGAGAAGCGGGAGGTTAAGGAAGAGGAGCTGTATATGGTTCTGGAGGTGTCGACCGACGCGACGTCCGTAGAGATCAAGAAAGCCTACTACAAGGTGCGTGATGAAAGTATTTTTCTTTTGAAATGAAAAGAAAAGACGTTTTTTCGAGATGAATCAAAAGCACCGTGCGTGTTATACGGAATGTCAGGACAGCATTCAGTCCCATCCTCGACGCTTCTTCCGTCTCCTCATCTCCACGCACTGTACTGTACCCCCTTTGTCTATCACACTCCTATCGCGTCTGCAGCTAGCGCGTACGTGCCATCCGGACAAGGTCCCTGACGACGAAACCGCCAAGGCCAGATTCCAAGCCGTGGGCGAGGCGTATCAAGTCCTCATGGACCCCGCCAAACGCGAAAAATACGACCGTTTCGGCCGCGCCGCGCTCGACGATACCTTCATGGACCCGGGCTATTTCTTCACCATGTCCTTCGGCGCGGATAAGTTCAAGCCGCTTGTCGGAGAGCTCACTATCGCGTACACGGCGGCGGGGAATCTAACGGTGGAGGAGGTGAAGAAGTGGCAGACGCGGAGGGAGAAGGAGCTCGCGGCGATTCTCCTGAAGCGGCTGGAGCCGTGGATGGCGGGCGACGAGGAGGGGTTTGTGCGCGACGCTGTCGCGCAAGTGGAGGAGCTCAAGGGCGAGGCGTTTGGCGTCGCGTTCCTGCAGTGTATCGGGTATGTGGTGTTACAAATCTTTTTTTTTTGTCGACTCAAAAGTCGACTTATCACACACGTTTCTGCAGTGCATCGGGTGTGTGGTGTTACAAATCTACCTCCATTGTGTCGCCAAGTTGGTACTTCACGTTTTGAGTCCCGTTCCTTTCATTGCCTTTCATGAAATGTAACGATACCGTGTGCTGGCAGGCAGGCAGCTGTCCCTTCTCTTGCGGCTGCCTGAATAAAAGGAAAGAAAAAGGTTTTGAATTTTCTCCACCTCCCCTCTGCTGCCCCAAACTGCTCACTTTCCCCAAACCCCCCCGCCCTTCCCCCCTCCCCCCATCAGCTACACCTACTACACGCGCGCGCAGGTGCTGCTGGGCATGACGGTGATGCTGGGCATTCCGAATTTCGTGAACGCGGTCAAGGAGTCCGGGCACGCGATGAAGATTCGCCACAATGCCATCGGCGCTGCGTTTAAGTGAGTGATACTTTTGGGGACGGTTCGATAAATGGACAGATCAACGAACCAACCTTATGTTTTTTTTTTGTTTTGTTTCTTACACTCTTAAGTTTCAGTGCCAATATCAGACCTTATGGCCCTTGCATCACCTTGCTAATTTCTGTATAGCCTCACATCTGGACACCGCTGCATGAACTGCCACCTGATTCAAAAAGAAACCCGAGAACTCTCTTTCCCTCTCCCCAACAGGCTTGCAGGGATGCAGGTTACGGCACACTCTAAATCACCCCTACCAGTAGAATGTACTGGAGCCATGTATTTTGCATCATTTTCTGGTTCCTTTCGCGCTTCCCTCCATCCATGCCCCCTCCACTCCCCTCCCAACCCACCAGGTTGGCGGAGATGCAGGTCACAGTGGACCCCAGCTAGCCGCCCAGCGAGCAGCATCCATTGCTCCTCCATGCTTCTTCATGCTCCCCCGTGCCTTTTCTACCCCTCCCCTGTCCCCCACCAGGCTAGCGGAAATGCAGGTCACAGTGGACCCCAGCAAGCCGCCCAGCGAGCAGCCCAACATGCCAGAGTTCCTCAACTCCGTCTGGATGGTCAGTGCACTACTTTTGTTATTATCCTTTTATCCGATTAGATGGTCAGTGCACTGCTTTTGTTATTATCCTTTAGTCCGATTAGATGGTCAGTGCATGCATGTGAAAGTGACTGAATCCTGTTCCTCTCACAACAGATAGTGTGTGCTTGTTTCTAGGAGTCTGATTATGCCAGATGCCCAGGGATTCCTTAAATTAAGCTTGCATGCAAGGGCCCTCAACCCTGAGTTCAACAGTCTGAAAACTGGTCAAGTCTCTCTCTCTCTCACTCTCTTCCTCACTCGCTCCCTCACTCTCTTCCTCAATTCAATGTGCATTTTCTGTGCCCTGTTTTCTCTTGTACTCCCTCCACTCTCCCCTGCCCAACTCCTCTTTTCTTTTTCCAACTGCAACAGATTAGCGTGCTGGACATAGAGAGTACACTGCGGCACGTGGTGGAGCTTGTAGTGAAAGACAAGACGGCTTCTAAAGAGGACAGGAAGAAGAGGGCCAGCGGCATCATGCGCCTTGGAAGGATCTTCCAAGAGGCATGAAACAATATCCAGGACATTAGTAATATTTTATTTTTGTAGGGGCGAAGCAGAAGACAATCATAGGGGCACAGGAGACTACCTGTATTGAAGGGGCGTAGAAGATACAGGGGGTATTCACGAAGACTGATTGAGGCCAGGACAACTGAAATGGCAAGGCGTGGCTCGATCAAATATCTGCAGTGCATATGCATCTGATCCCGTCCTTGTTCATGGCTCCTCAGCCGCTGCTAGAGTAACCATTTTTGCTTTCATCCATTCTAGTGAAAATCTTGGTAATGGGGGAGGGCTATGACACAATGTATTTCCTTGTCATTGCTCTTATCCTGGCATCTGAGAACGAAGACCTCCGGTACCTTCTATTCAATCGCGTCCATGACACAAGGCGAGTGCACGTATCTGGGCTCCAGTGCCTGGTCCTCGTTATTAGCTCCTTAATACGCGCTGAGGGTCCTGCCTTTCCTGGAGTAGTCTCTCCACGCATCAGCCATCCCATCACGCTGCATGTACAGCTTGCCATGGTCCCGCTCTTGCCGCTTTGAAACGTCTCAAATGTGCAAGGACTGTTGCTGCTGCTCCTTCTCTTGCGTTATTTTGCTGTTGTTGTAGGTAAGCTGCCTTCGCACGCCTATTTTAAAGGCGATATACGCTGCTGCTGCTGCTGCTGCTGCTGACGCTAATCGAGACGCTAGAGCCACTACGGATCACAATACGCGAGATGCAATCTGATGATACGATTGTAACAACTCGAGTCGGTAGGGACTCGAATTGCTAAAGTCGGCTGGAATTCGTAAACAGTTCCTTCCGATGCGCCTCAGCAGGTAGGATACGTATTGAAAATGATAAGCAAGCATGCAGATGCGGGTGTGCGAAGGTGCAGCGTTGCGTGGGTGCAATGAAAGGAAGAGATTGCTCGGAGTGGTGAAGAATGCAATGAAAGAAACATTGCGTTGCTTGCGACAGTATCAAGAGAATCGCATCCCGCTTGGCCTTGGGTTCTTCCTAGAGAGGTGATGAGTTCGGGCTTAGGCTTTTGACATTTATCCCACATGGTGTTAAAACACAAAAACAAACACACTAAAGTTATAAAAAGGCACACTCGCTCTCATCCTTCGGGACATCCGTTAAAATTGGAACGATACAGAGAAGATTAGCATGGCCCCTGCGCAAGGATGACACGCACAAATCGAGAAATGGTCCAAATTTTTTCGGCGTTCTGACGGAGCACGTCCACCAATCACAGCACACCTCCACCCCCTCCCCCCACCCCTAACATTTCCCACCCCCTTTACCACCACTCCAACATTTCCCTATACCCCCCTGAACATTTCCCCTTTACCGAGCGCAAATCAAGCCATTTCTGTGAAGAGAAGCACTTCCACAAGCCTTTCACCTGGTTCCTCTCGCATACGCAGCAGTCCTCCCGCCTACTAGTTCCCAGCCTGCTTCCGAAGCAGGCCACATTCGCACGCGACTTCTCTATGTCCGCGGCGCTAGTTCGCAGTGCTTTTATTCAGCCATTCTGTCTCAAGGAGCAAGTCTAGTCGGCTGTGTCATTCGATCATCCCGCTGTTTCTCCCTCACATCTTGCAAAGACGTTCATGCATTCCCTGGTCTACGCGGCTCCTCTTACAGCTCATCGGCGGTCATTTTCTAATTCCATCGTCACCACCGCCATGTAGTATCAGAATCCATATCAATCCGCGAGTCCAAATTCACCGAACTCGATGTGATAAAACCAAGATCTTCCAGAGTTCCCCAACCCGTTCGACAATGCTGGAGATTTCGAGCTCGGCTTTCTCGTTCACACGAAGCCTAAAAGAACTCCTGCTCTATCGCATATGGGTCAGAGTCGAGAGAAACCGGACTGGATGCGGAAGGTGACGGACGACGAAATCGTCAAGAAATGGAAGGCGGAGTTGACGGAGCCGGCAGCGGAGAGCTCTCCCTCCTCTAAATGGTCCAAATTTTTTGGCCATCCGGCGGAGAAATTGGATCAGCCGGAGAGCTCTCCCTCCTCCAGCAATTATTTCTCAAGCAGGACTCGACTCTCTACTTGCCTACATTCAGATTGCTCCTAGCTCGTGTCTCAGTTGGTGCAAATGTTCTTATCTCGATAAGAAAGACGCACGTTCAAGGGTTCTCATGTCAATGTGAAGGGGGATTGCTAATGTAAAGGTGGTCCCCACATTAGAGTTGGACAACCCAGGGCCAGGCAGACCACCTGTTTCAACTGTCCTGTGTTTGGAGTACCATTTGCCTCCTTACCGCAGTGTGCAATCTGAGCCACAGACATTTTGATTGAAACTGATGATTGAACCGTTTTTCACGGCGACGTGTCCCATGTCATCCCTGTACATTGTTTCCCATTGGGCAAACTTCCTGAAACATTTGACACTCGCCCGCCCTCGACGCAGCTACACCTCCATGCTTTCCCTGGCCGTGCTTTCTCATTCAACCTCACATCCACAGTCGATATAGTCACCCCCTTTATAGGCTGCTCCGCTAACCCTTCTATCTTCACAACCCGATCGATATTATCTCCTGTAAGTCCATCTACAGTTATGTCTTGGATGATTGGCAGTGCATGAGGGTCGAACCCCGGGGGATCCCCGTGACCGAAGAAGGAGGTGATGGTGAAAGCTACTTTCACATCGTGTACATAAGTGCGAATGAATGAAACACTGCAAATGGGATGCAAAGGGGTGGGTGGGAGAAGGCGGGCAGATGGGTCAAAGAATCAAGAGAGGGAAGGAAGGGTGATGGTGAAAGCTACTTTCACAACCTGTAGATAAGTGCGAATGAATGAAACACTGCAAATGCAAACGGGATGGAGGGTGGGAGGTGGGCGGGCGGATGGCACAACGGGAATGGGCGAGAGAAAGAGGTGATAGTGAAAGCCACATAATCAGGCATGGCGACAAGGAGTGACAAAACAAAGGTGGGGGATGATGAGTAGGGGCTGTTTAAACGCTCAGAAACATGCTGGATAACAGTGGACATGGCAGCACACAATAGAAGCGAAAGTGTGTGTTAACAGACAGACCAAGCCCCAACAATCAAAGCAGCCACGCAGGAGTCTCACTTCTTAACAAACCCGCCCCGTCCGGCGGCGGATTTGATTCTGATGCCCACGTCAGCACCAAGAACTCGGCAGTCCTCAAACCTCACTCTCTGCACGCCACTGCTCATCTCACTGCCGATCGATAGGCCCACGCCGCCGCTGCCAGGTGGCACCTGTTCATTCGTGTGTGCACGTGAGTGAGGTGAAAGAAGAAGCACTCAAATCAATGTTCGAGAGTTCTGTCACTCTCTATTCGCCGCCACTCATCTCACTGCCGATTGATAGGCCCACGCCACCACTGCCAGCAGGCACCTGCTCGTTCATGTGTTCAAGAAAGCAAGGGAAGAAAAGGCATCATCTGATTCGGATGCCCACGTTAGCACTGAGGACTTGGCAGTACTCGAACCTCACTCTCTGCACGCCGCCACTCATCTCACTGCCGATTGATAGACCCACGCCGCCACTGCCAGGTGGCACCTGCTCTTGTTCATGTGTGCGTGTGAGGGACTGAGTGAGAGAAGAAGAAAATCACTAATCAAATCGGCCCACATTCAGCAGCACCAAGGACATCTCAAAATGAGTGTCACACGGCAGTCCTCGAATGTGACTCTCTGCATGCCGCACCGACTGATGACTCTCTGATGCATTCATGATTGGCCCATCACTCAACCGCGAATGTGACTCTCTGCATTCATGATTGGCCCATCACTCAACCGCGAATGTGACTCTCTGCATTCATGATTGGCCCATCACTCAACCGCGAATGTGACTCTCTGCATTCATGATTGGCCCATCACTCAACCGCGAATGTGACTCTCTGCATTCATGATTGGCCCATCACTCAACCGCGAATGTGACTCTCTGCATTCATGATTGGCCCATCACTCAACCGCGAATGTGACTCTCTGCATTCATGATTGGCCCATCACTCAACCGCGAATGTGACTCTCTGCACGCCGCAAATCGTATCGCGGCCGACTGATGGGCCACCCCCAATTGCTTGCCGGCAGCTGTTTGCTTGAGGGTGTATAAAGAATTTTGAGTCGACTCAAAACTCGACTTATCACACTTGAGGGTGTATAAAGAATTTTGAGTCGACTCAAAACTCGACTTATCACACTTGAGGGTGTATAAAGAATGGAGGCAGAGAAGGCGGATGGGGAGGAGGGAGAGGATGGCGAGGGGAGAGGGAGAAGGGGAAGGAGGTGAAGCAGGGGAGCGGCAGGAATGAGGTGAAGCAGGGGAGCGGCAGGGAGTAGCCTTGTGATTGCATGTGCTTGTGTATTTATGTGGGTGGGGGGAAAGGGAGGGCGAAGGAGATGAGGTAGGTGGGTGTATATGTGTGAGACGCATGCACAACTATGTGCCTGTGAGACGCACACACAACTATGTGCCTGTGAGACGCACACACAACTATGTGCCTGTGAGACGCACACACAACTATGTGCCTGTGAGACGCACACACAACTATGTGCCTGTGAGACGCACACACAACTATGTGCCTGTGAGACGCACAGTTGCCTGTGCAGCAACTGTTTGTGCTGTGCTGATGGAGGAAGCCAGAACAGCATAGCTCTACACCCCACTCTGAAAGGAAACTCCTTACAAGCATGCCAGAGAGAGGGAGAGAGGAGAGGAGCTCGCAGTAGAGTCCCAACCCACCCACCTGCACGGTGACTCGCCGTACGGTGATGTCAGCAGAGGGTGCAGGAGGGTGGGCGTTGTACCCGTACTGGTCCCATCCGCTCTTTATTGCCACGGCATCATCCCCCGTGCTGATTTGGCAGTCCTCTATCAGCACGTGCGTGCTGGAGTCTGGAAGGGAAGGGGGGGGGAGGGGACGGATGTGATATGGACCTGGCTCGAATCTCTACCATACGTTTTTCTGAGAATTCTATAAAAAAAAAAAAAAAAAAAAAAAAAAGGATGAACGATTGTGACAGTCTGCCTGCCTGCCGTGGCAGATCTTAGAGACAATCTTGACTAGCAATCCTACCAAACTGCATGCGATCATGACTGAACAGCTAAGAGCTCAACAGCCTCCCGCCAGGATCAATGCCGTCAGTCAGTCTCAGAAAGAAAAGACGTGTGAGAACAGCCACTCACCAAGGTTGATGCTGTCTGTCTGTCTAACATTGCTGGGAGAGGAGATGGTGAGTTGGAGTAAGGAGCGAAACGAGAAGAGAGAAGAGAAAGGAGAGAAGAGACGAGAGGGCGGAGGGAAGAGAGGAAAGGAGAGAAGAGGCGAGAAGAGAGGGAATGCGAGAACAGCCACTCACCGGGGTCAATGCCGTCTATTTGTCGAACATTGCTGGGAGTGGCGGAAGGAGAGGAAAGAGGGAAAAGAGAAGAGAGAAGAGAGAAAAGAGAAGTGAAAAGCGAGACGAGAGAAGGAAAGACATGTGAGATTAGCCACCCTCTCACCTGGATCAATGCCGTCTGTCTGTCTCACGGTGCTGGGGGCGGTAATGGTGAGATGGCGGAAGGAGAGGCGGGAGGAGTAGAGGGGGCGGATGAACCAGAAGGGCGCATTAACCAGCGTCAAATGAGAGACTGCCACGTGGCAGCTGCTCTGGATCTCTATCACGTGGGGTCGCATGTGGTGCAGGCTCTTTCTCTCCATCGCTTCCCACCACGGCTTTCCGTTGCCGTCAATCGTCCCGTTCTCTCCTGGGGAAGAAAGGGGAGGAGAGACGTTAGTGGGAAAGGTTATTCAATCGCCAGGCCCATGCCATGTCCCAGTGTGGTGCAGGCTCTTCCTCTCCATCGCTTCCCACCACGGCCTGCCGTTGCCATCGATTGTCCCATTCTCTCCTGGGAAAGGTAAGAGAAGAGGTAGCGAGAGATAGAGGCAACTTTTGAGTCGACTCAAGGCAAGCAGTGCAGGCTCTTCCTCTCCATCGCTTCCCACCACGGCCTTCCGTTGCCGTCAATCGTGCCATTCTCTCCTAAAGAAGACATCGGAAGAGGTCAAGATAGAGGTGAATATTATACATATTTGAAAATAAAGGCTCCTTTCTTTGCCGGCGCAAGGCTAGGTGGCGAGAGCACAGGCGCTGCAAAAAAAGGAACCACGACTCCCTCGAAACCAGGCGATCACTGACCCGTTATAAGCACATCTGTGACGTTGTAAGCGAGTATGAGGCTGTGATGGCGTGGCCCAGGGTCCAGCTCTCGCCCTGGCCCGTACGTTGGGGGCTGCGGCACCAAAGGGTAGTCGGGCATGCGCTGGTGTGGGAGGGGGGGTGCAGGGGAAAGAATTTGTAAAGCAGCGGTTGAGTCAGGCGCATATCTTGGTGACGTGGCCCAGGGTCTAGCTCTCGCCCTGGCCCGTACGTTGGGGGCTGCGGCACCAGAGGATAGTCGGGCATGTGTTGTGAGAGTGGGAGGGGGAGAGATGGAGTGAGAAGGAAAGCAAGAGTGATAAGGGGAGAGAAGGAAAGATAAGTTGAGAGAAGGGGGACAAGGGGAGAGAAGGAACGAGAAGGGGAGAGAAGGATGAGGGGGAGAGAAAGGGGGATTGATAATGAAGGAGAGCATGAGTGAAGGGAAGGGGATCCCCCCCACCTCTGAGTGGCTGCAGCACCAGAGGGTGGCCGGCTATGTGCTGGGAGGAGGAGATTTGAGAGAGGGAGAAGAAGGGAAAGCATGCATGGCGAGAGCGAGGTGCAGGGGTGCAATGCGGTGAAGTGTGGAGCTATGCGGGAGAGCTGCACTGACTTACAGGGCTGGCCAGTAAGTAAGGTTGTCCCGTGCTGCAGAAAGGGATTCACTGACAGGTGAGGAGGTTGAGCAAGGCGCTATCCAAAGTGGTTTAGTGTGGTCAAGTGCGACTGAACGACTTACAGGGCTGGCCAGTAAGTAAGGCTGTGGCGTGCTGCAGAAAGAGATTCACTGACAGGTGAGGAGGTGAACAAGGCGCTATCCAAAGCGGTGTAGTGCGATGAAGTGTGGTCAAACGTCTTACAGGACTGGCCAGTAAGGTTGCGCCCTGCTGGAGAAACAGAGTCATGTGACTGGTGAGGTTGAAAGGACCCGTCAACCAGGTGCCACGTGGCACCACCAGCGTGGCCCCCAGTGCCACGTCAGCACCACCGCCGCCCTCCACGGATTGGGCGGCAACCAGTGACTGTACCGCACCGATAGCTGCTCGAAATGCAGCGGTGTTGTCAGTGGTGCCGTCCGGAACTGCGTTGAAGGATGCTAGGCTGAGACTGTTGGGTTAGGAAGAATTGACAGGGAATCGAGTGACAGAGGAGGGAGCGAGGGGCAGTGACTTGAGCTAAAATGCAATGCAGCTGTGTTGTCAGTGATGCCATCCGGTATTGCGCTGAAGGATGCTAGGCTGAGACTGTTCTTTTGGGAGTGGGGATAGGAGATAGAAGGGGAAAGAACATTGAAGGATGGTCTCATGTATGTGGTGTCATCCAGTACTGCGTTGGAGGATGCTAGGCTGAGACTGTTGGGTTAGTGGGAACCAAAAGGGTGGGGGGGTGGGTGCGGAGAGAGTAAGGGGAGAGTGAGGTGAGTTGGAACGCAGCTGGTTACCAGCTGGTAACGGAAAGAAACGGGCGAGACGGGATCCGCAGCTCACGTTTCTGCTCGACGGTGGATCAACGGCACGTTCCCCGCGGATTCCGCGCACTTGGGGATGAAAACGGACACGCGATTAGATCCTAGCCGTTGATCCTGTCCCTGACCAGATTCGACATTCGCTGATTGCGACGAGTGCTCATTATCTATCGATCCGTATGATGCAGACTGTTCCGTACGACCGATCCCATCCACCGTTACACTAGCTGTACGGCCCACATCGGGTTCCCCGTAGTCACCGCCAAAACGGACGGCTCGATTCACGGCAGCAGCTGACAACATGCTCGTGGGAAGATCTACACTGGCTGGATTTGAAGCTGACGTGGCCGTTACGTGGTTGTGGATCGGAGGGAGAGAGGAGAATGACACGGGGCCGAGAATGACAAGAGCGGCGAGTGACGCGAGTGCGACGATCCAACGCGACGATCTCTGCGAGGGGGCCGCCATCGCCGGTGCGACACATGGGTCTTCTGTACCGTGTCGTGCGGTACGCCGTCAGATTGATCGCGGGCTTTGGCTGGGCTTGCTCGCATCTGGCCGAGATTCCTATAGCTTGTTTCAGACCCCTCATTTCCCATGCTCCAATAGAACGCAGCCCAAATTCGAAATTCAGCTCTCCGTCGCAATTGCATTTTTTCAATTGGACAATACCAAGGATTACGATAAGACAACCCCAAGGCTCTACACTTGATAGAAAATTATGTCGTTATTTATTTTCGTCAAACCTGTAAAATACATTTTGGTAATGTGGTGAACCGATCAATTGACTAATTGTCCAAATCACACGCCCTAAAACATTCCAGTCGATGTCAGGAAACATAATGCTGCACCTAATTCAGAAGGTGAATATTCCTAGCTCAGCCAATCAGAAGTAAAATCATTAGGTGAAAATTCCTAGCTCAGTGATCCGAGGATGTAAGCTCCCAGCACGTGATGATGAAGTTACGGACGACGAGAAGTCGTCCAGATACAGCCACGCGGTAGGCTGCTATTAAGTCCCTGTTACCAGAAAACGTTAGCACTCCCAATCCGCGACGACGGGAAAATGTTAGTAATCGCATGGATGCCTGTTACTCGCACGCCGCGACGAAGCGGACCGAGTTTCTCCCGTCGCCCAGAAAGCCGCATTCCCCCGTCGCGAAGTTTAAAACGCGAGAGATCCGCTTCGCCGTGGCGCCTGCGCCGGCGCATGATCCACAGGCGCCGCGCCCGTGGCGCCGCTTTCGCGGAGTCGGAGGAGGACACGCCGCCGGATGCTGCGGCAGCTGATACTCTCGGCCACATGGCGTACTCTGCACGTCGGTGCCATCCTCTCGTGTCCCCTTTGCTAGCGGGGACGCACACGCAATCAACGCCGCAATTGAATCTCCTGTCGACTTGGCGGTTACGCGGCTGTCGGCCGCAGAGGCCTCGGCGGCGGACGCGGCGGCGGACGCGGCGGCGGACGCGGCGGCGGTGGACGCGGTAATAGTACTAGCAGGTTGGAGTGAGATAGCATGATTGTTTCCCTCCACGTTCATTCCGCGGTCCCCAGTGGCGGTGAAAGCTCCATCAATTCGTCCCCGAAAACACCGCATGGCGAGCGGCATTGTTGTTGCTCGCTTGAAGCTAACAGGGCGTCTGACGAGCTTCCGTTCCTAATTAGTCGACAGTAGTCGCGCCGATAGAGCAGTCACGACACAGAAATGGTCGAGTCGGTCTGGACAACCTCGAAGGAGTGAGTCACGTGTGAAATAATACTTTCAATCTCAGCTGCTTCATGTAAAAGGGACACTTTCAAGCTCCACAAGGGGCGACGTGATGTGCGGCTGTTCTGTTGGTGTAAGAACAAGGTCGAGCAAGCAAGCCGCGAACACGAGGGTTTGAATGAATCCTCGCGCCGCGAGGGAGGAACGAAATGCGCGACTTATTTCACAGAATGCACTGAACAATAAACCCCCGTTTGATCCTCTGTAATTCGCCAGAAATAGTGCAGAGAACTTGCCCTACAACAAACAACTTCACTAGTGTTCACAAGGAACTCGTTTTGGTTCCCTCATGTGCGCAAAAGAAGCTGTTGTGGTGTGCTTGAGGCATGAGCAATTGCGTGCGCTGCTATTTTACGAGTGTGAGGTGGGAGAGGAAATGAGGAAGGGAAGAAAGATGTGAGGAGGAATGGGGAAGCGCACTACACCTGATGCTCATTCAACGCACGGCCGAGGGATCAATACTTTACACACTCCCTGACGCATGAATTTAATGGCACATGCACGCGCCTTATAGGCGGATGTACAGTCCACTGTGCTTGCACTGTTCCGCACATCAATGCTGATCGTTTTACAAAGACATCTGAAGCTGGCTTACGACGATGTTTGCGGCTGTAACAAGAAATGACAATGCGGTTAGGCCTTACAGAACTAGGGTTCCGACAAATTCGTAACCCCAGTTCGGTTTGGGGGCTCAATCTGCCAGTGAGAATTTCGTGCTCGACATGCACAGACCGCATGAAAAACAAATGAGTGAAAAACACAACAGAGTGTAGTGTACCGTCGCATCAGCAGCAGCAAGCAGCGAAACAGTGGTGTACAGAAACTGGTGGCTGGTGTTGGGAGTTACGAAATACACACGTGCCTGATGACGTAAGGGAAATACAGATTGAACGTAAACCAGCACTCTGAATCTCAAATTGCCCCTTGACACGTCAACGACGCAATTATCATGCATTAAATATCGTGGCTACCAACAAGTATCCTATCCTCGTTTTGACCCTATTTTAGTACACGATGTTACAATAATACTTGCATGTTTACGGTGTTACAATCACGCATTTAACCTGTGATCAATAAGAAAGTGTACCTAGAAGTTACAATAATACTTGCATATTTAAGGTGTTACAATCAAGCATCTAACCTGTGATCAAGAAGAAAGGGAGGGGAGTAGAAGACCTTTCCCATATTATGGAACAAGGGGTTTCTTTTCTATTCCCTGGGGTGTACTATCGAGGTGAATCCGGCATCATATCAAGAATGGAAAAGGGTTCCCCAACAGGTCAAGTAACAATATGCAAGTCTAGGTTACATAACCATGCTATGTCGGGCCCGCTTCGGAAAAGGCATGGGCCATGACATGGCAAGGCCTGAGATGGCATGGCGTGGAGTGGAGTGATGGTGTCTTGCCATATCAACAAGAAAGATGCACCGATAAGCTCAGAGCAGAGGAAAGCAGCAGAGCGGTCATAGCAGCTTCTGGCAGTCGAAGAAGCACTTGGGGTGCCTTAGCTGGAGTGATGCGATGATGCCACACATGAGAAGAGTCATTTGTGGTAGATTGATTGGTATTTCAGTATGTTGGGCTGAGCTAGGCAGCTTCTTGCGTTTAAAGAAGTGTTGGAGGTGCCAGAGCTGTAGCGCAGCAATGTGCGGCACACCAGGAGAGACGTTTCTGGTAATAATGATAGGTATTTCAATACAGCCTAGAGGACAGTGCAGAGCTGATGAAACTCTAAATGCAAAGCTACGCGCAAAGCTTAGAGAAGAGCTCTCATAGCAGCTTCTTGCGCTCGAAGAAGCGCTTGAGGTGCCAGAACTGTAGCGCAGCGATGGCGCCGCACACGAGGAGAGACGCCACGCTGAGCCACGCCACGTACGCGTGTG